ATTTTATATATTTCCGTATTGTTGTAAGCATATGCATTAGAAAAAAACATTCATTTTCCCTTCTGGTCCATGATTCCCCCAATTTATGGGCCATGCCGCTGTTACTGTGTGAGTGTTAAGGTACGCATATATGCATGAATGTCAGCTTACATACATACATAGTTATTTGTGCGTAAAGTATTGATGGTATATATGTGTGTGAGTGTGTGTGCTATTGGTACGTCATTCAATTGAACCAACTAAATAATAGATTATGCACTAAGAACTTACCGTTATTGAATTACGCTTCTTGTATGTCACTCGTATATATCTTTGTACGTATGCGTGTATATGTGTGTACGTGAATATTACATATGTACTTATTCGTTAGAGAGGCTTTTGGATTGTATTCACTTTATTAATTTTTCTTTTCAGTTGACACTTATCATAAGACCGAGCGAAAAGCGCACACATCTGTCCATAGCATTAACAGCAGATAAACTGATTTACTCATGATAAGCCCAAACAGTTCTTGTACACACAGTAACAGCAGCAGCAGCAGCAGCAGCAGCAGAAGCAGCAGCAGCATCAGCAGAGTCCACGACAGCCATACAACAACATTAATAGGAGCCGCTGTGGTAGCATCATGGCTAAGAACAGTATCAATCAGCAGCACAAGCAGCAGCAGCACCAGAAGCAGCAACAGCCCACAGCAGCCATCTAACTGTCCATCTCTCCTTGAATACCCATTTTGTAAAGCACGAGCAACACTGCAGCAACGTGGCCGTCGTCATAGATCTCAAAGAGTACATTCCAACATAAAGACAAAAGATGTCCCGACATACTCTCTTACCAAAGACAACATACATGCCCAACAACTCAGTAGAAGTCGTCCTGCACCGAGAGAGAGCTTAATTCTAAGCTTTGCTCTTTCATTTTATAAAGAGAAATTTGTTTATTGCATCTTTTCATACTATATTAAGTATGTGGGCACCTAGCAAACAGACGAACATAAAGAAAGAAATAGTTAATACACGGGAGTTTACGTTCATATGTATATATAATATTCTATTTCCATTTCATAAACTTGGTTTTTTTCTATACACATTTTTTTTTACAGTAAAAAATAATGTAAATTATTGTAGGTTAAATAATATATATTATATTCTTATTCAATACTTCAGGCTTTTTTTAATTCAGCCCAAAAAATAAGAAATTAATTATTAAGAAATTAAGGCTAGGAGCAATATTTTTCGATTAAGCTCTATATTTTTGAGTAATCCTCGTTTTCATGTATGACATATAACTCATTTATCGGATTTTGTTTTCATTTTTAATTTCACGAGAGGAAAATTGTAAATAATAATTTCAAATTTAATCGAGTTGAGCGCGTATATGGGCCTGTTGAATTTAGATTTATCTTTTGATGATAGATCGATATTTTTCGTTAGAACATGTGCATAGTAAAGGATAGATAGATAGATAGATATGCAAATATTTATGTACATATGTATTAAGGTTTTGTTTTTATTTCTGAATTTAAACATAATAAATAAAAGAAAGCTCAATTTCAGGAACGATCAATGCGGCAACCAACTGTTTGCAGTTTGTAATTTGGATTACTGTAATATCCTTGTGCTCTTTCAAAATACTAATTGTATTTTATTTGTGCGATATTAGCGAAATACTGAAATACCAAAGAACTATAGCAGGAAACAGACATCGATAACTAGTGGGATCAACCATGTCAATGTCTGATACAAAATATATCGATGTATATTGATAGATATTACCATTCCAAGGCAGCACATTGCATGTGGAATGAAATTGATAGAAAATTTGTTTTTGAAAATAAACATAAAAAAGGCGAGTAGATCTTAGTTTACTACTGTCCAAGTCAATATAAAGAGTGCGATAATTGTTTTTAATATTGTATATAAGTGGTTCAATATTCTAGTGCTTCAGGTAAAATACATTTTGAGAACGAAAACGGACGTAAAGTAAAATTACATGATGACATTTCTTACCACAATGCAATTAGTTGACGTTGCGCTCTCTAATTGCATATAAATAATTAACAATAATGCAAATACAATGTGTATCTTTTGAAAATTAGTGTTAAGGAAATCGTTTAACTTAAAGTTCAATATTAGAGCGCAAAACACAGAAAGTTCGAACAGTTTTTTTTAACTATTCCATTTTCTTTGTGTGTCGCCGTCGTTCGAGTTTTGTTCAGGTAATCTCTCTATCTCCCTCTCTTCTCCTCACTCTCACTTCGCGCTTCCCTGTCGGTCGCATGTGCGCCAACGTCGCAACGTCGGCAAATACATGTATGTAGTAAAAGCATGATTAAACAGTTAAAGAAAATGCAAAGCATTACTGCTAATTAATTTTTAATCAATTTTAATTTTTTATCAAACATAAATGTTAAATATTTAAAAATTATGTATTTAAAATATCAATTCAATATTTTGCTGTAGACTATAAAATAATGCATATGATTTTAAAATTTGCAGGCTGACTACTCTTTCCAAACTTATTAGAATTGCCTCGCCGAACTACTTTGTATATAATATCGACAACATATTTGCAGGTACGAGCCATCATAATCTGCATCAACATTTATAATAATAATATTAGTATTCACAGAAGAATAATCAAATGGTTGTGTGACAGATTGCTAAACGGGGTCTAAAGTCATCCCGGAGATCGCCAAGAAAACGGTATAATAAACCGATTGACGACTTCCGATAACAAACGGATTGGTCAATTCGTAATGCAACCATCTGCTCCAACACTATCAACACAAGCCGATATTGCTAAAGCCATGCAGCCCCAAAATATGGTAAGCTCCCATATTAATTGCCTCTACTGGCTTATTTATACTTATATTTTTACTTTTATTCTTATATGCATATATGTATATGTGTTGCTCTCACTCTAAAAGAATAACTTAGTTTAAATCTCTTTCGATAACATTTTCGCAACGAGAAATTGATTTGTTCATATTATCTAAATCTTATGTTTAGTAACTGATTTGCATACAATGATAACACTGACCAGCATACTTAAGGTAACAAGCATCAGACTACACATATCCGTAAAATTCTGAGGTGGTAATAATAGTTTATTATCATTAAAATAATTACCATTTGAAGATTCTACAATATTCGAAATATATAGTAAGCCCATCAAATCTGATTTGTAAATCATATTTCTCTCTACATCTGTAAAGATGTGGAACAAAAAATTGCTTTATGAAAGTGTTTTATATTTCAAAATAGTCATCGATTAGTTTTGATTTCTAATATAGTTAGTTTAGGAACTACTACTATCTAGGAGCCACCTGCAACAAAAATAAAATTGAAATTGCTTCAAACTATTGATTTAATAAATAAGCAGTTCATATAAATGCCGAACATATTATCATATATAAAAGGAAGCACACAATCTCCTACTTATGTATGACGTCAATATATGGATGTTTTTTATTATTGGCTTTTTTATTTAGTTGCTCGTTTCGTTGGGTTTTCTTTTTTTTTTTTTTTTTTTTTTTAAATAGTTACAATGTACAAGACTACGTTGCTAACGTTGCTGCATCTTCTTCTTCTTTGTTTTTTATATATATATATCTTGTAAATATTTCCACTATCCAATGATGATTGGGCGCTGCTTAAATCTGTTGTAGATATTACCGACAAATAAAAAGACTAAAAAGTACGCAACGCAAATGTCTGCTACAAAGCAACAGCCACAGCAACAGCAACATAGTACGTCACAGCCACAGTTTCAGATAAACAAGGCTTACAATGTTGTTTCCATACTAAAAACAGCTGCAACAACGCCAACAAATGCCCAACAAGCGACGGCTCACATGGTACATCAGACACATCTGCAACAACAGCAGCAGCAGCAACAACATCAACAACAACATCAACAGCAGCAACATCAACAACAGCAACATCAACAACAGCAACAACAACAACAAAAACAGTCGCAGCAGCAGCAAAGCTACGCAAATGTCGTTAACAGGCCATTAACATCTGTTAACGCACAGCAGCAGCAATCGACAACAGTTATCTGTAGCGGCGGCAATATAATGGCTGTTAACAATTGCCAATTAAATCTGAATTCGGCAACGATTCAGCAGGACTTGAATACAGCCGCCATTTATAATCTAACAGGACATCGTGCTGCTGCTGCTGCTTGCGGTAGCAATAGTGGAATTATCGAAACAAAATGTCGTCTATTATCGGACATCTCCAATTCCAGTCCAGTCGGTCCAAATAACAGTCAACAACAGCAACAACAGCAACTGACAACTGTTGCTGGGGTCGGCAACAATAGTAATAATGGTTGCAGTAACAACAGTAGCATTATCAATGGCAGCAACCAAAGCATCATAACTCTGGCCAATTCTCATGGTCTAACACTCGGCTCATCGAATAATCCCTCTGCCTATATGCATGACAAAAGTCTGTTGGGGGCGGTTGGGGTTAGTGTCGGCGTCGGTATAAACGTCAGTTGTATCGATAATAGAAAATACGATTACAAGAACAATAATCTGTTATCGAACAGTAATTTTCAACAAACATCCCAAGAGGTAGGCAACTCTCTTTCTGCTGTATACCCAGAATCAGTTGAATATGCGAATTCCGGGTATTATAGTTCCATCAGTTATATGTTACAGTCCAAAGTAGGCATGGCAAATCAAATACCGTAGAAAGCACAGATCTTGTATTTTTATACTCATTCATGAAAGTGAAATATATATTGGTTTTGTGCAATGTCCGTCTAGCGGTCCGTCCGTCTGTCTATATGAACGCATTTTTTTCGGCGCTATTGAAGCTAGAGACTTCAAATTTGGTATATATACTCGGGTTGACCACCCATGACCAAAAAGATATGTCGGATATATCTACACCCACAAGGGGCGTGGAAAGAATATATACATAGGATATATATAATATTTATATCAAATCAGAAAATGGGAGTATTTTGCAGTCTTCCGCACCTATATATAGTAAGCATATATATATATATACAGTAGAATCCGGTTATACCGACTCCGCTTAAAGCGTCCAACCGGCTATGTTGACGAAAACTCGATATCTTAGTTGGTCCCCATACAAACTTATATGAAAGAGCCTCCGCTTTTAACGACAATCCGCTTATGCCGACGTTTTTTTTATATTTTTGAGTCAATCACCGGTTATTACGACGTGATAAAAAAAAAAATCGCGAAATAATGACAACAAATTTCAGCATAAAAAGACTCTGTTAGAAATGTATGCAAGTATGTATTGATCAGTGATCAGTACCCATGCTTGTGTGCGTAGCAACGCCACAAATGCTGCTAAGACAGAGAGAGGAAGAGAGACAAAGTACAATGCCGACGTCACAAAAATGTTTCTAAACCATGTTATTGAAATAAGTTTATARAAAATGGTTGTTWTGATKAMAAATTTAAATTGTTTTATAGTAAAAGCTATTACGAACATGGCAACCGTAAAAAATATGAAAAACAAAATTTTGTTTACTCTTTCTGGTTAAAGCGTCCTCCGGGTATAGCGACGTAAAATCGACGGTCCCTTGAGTGTCGCTATAACCGGATTCTACTGTATTTATATA